CAGAGATGGACAAAGTTGGCATCACCCTCTTTTCCAGAAAGACACCTAGGCAGACAGTGACAGTGCCACTCTTCAAACACTGTCTTACTCAGAGGTGGGACAAAGGACAAAGTGCACAATTGAGACTCTGCTCCACAGGACCAGCCAACATTCAGCTATTTGCCTATGAGCAAGTACTCAGTGAGCCAAGACTCCAAAACCACTATAAGGAATGACAAAAGAATCCTCTGTGGAGCCCTGGATGGCTAATAACACAGTTGCAGCCAGTTGTCCCAAACTAATGCTTTCCCTTTACCCAAGTGTAGGGGGGGTGTCACTTTCATCCGAGTGTGCGCTGTGCATGTGCTTCCCAATGCAAAGTCGGCACTGTTTTACTTGCAGCTAACATGTTTTGCCTACATTGAACAAATTGTGACTTCTACTGAAAACTGAGGAACGATGTGCTTAGAAGATGCTAGCATAGCTAATTCCACATTCCTGAAGGAGATGAGAATGAGCCAATAAAGTAACCCATGAACATGAATTCATTCTCTGTGGTCTAATAAGGGCCCCAATGCTCTACAGACCATAACAGTGGAATCAAGATTTTTTTCTCAAAAATGATATAATTTTCTAAGCAATTCTTCTGAGAGAAACAGCCAGGTTTATCCTAGAGTAGGGGAGCTGGGGGCTTGGAGTGCAATGGTCTTAGTTCTTCAAATAACCATCTGGATGATCTTGAGTAAGTCCTTTTCATAAAGCCTCTGTCTTCTTGACTTGTAAAATGGGATGCTTGGGCCAAAGTCTGCACCAGCTGTAAAATTCTGTAATTCCCTAAGTAAAAGTTCACTGTGTTGCTGGCAAGAGGGCCGGGTCCATCAGCATGATCCAATTAACACCCTGCAATGTGGAATACTCTAGCTGTAGTTTCAAGAAAAGGCTATTTTGGAGTGGAAGGAGTGCTGATCATGAAGTGTGGCCATTTGTTTTTCAAAGCAGTGGAAGAGTCTGAGGTCTAGAGATGTCAAGTAACTGGTAAATTACAAGCTAATTAGCGATGGGAGGAAGCCGGAGCTGCCTGGCTGGTCCTGTTTGCACTAACCCACACTGCTCCCCAGCTGGCTGCACTAGACGCTGCTTCGGCTCCCTGAATAATCTATAGTGTGGCTTTTATGTGTCTCATTAAACACAGCCTACATCACAGTTGTGCTTTACCAGCTTCTAGGTTATTAGTTTTCCAGGCACCTAATCCAGGAGACATTTGAAGGGTGACCTGAAGGTCTTCGTGAAAATATGCCCAGGATAAAATAATTTTAAAAGGCCTACAAGATTTGTCCAAGAAAGCTGACATCTCCCCACCTCCCACCTGCTTCCCATTGTGTCAAATGAGTATTTTACAGGGAGGAAGACCCTAGTGAACCCACGTCTGCACAAACAGCTTAGAAACCAGATCTCAGCCTCCACTGTCTAAGCACCTTGTAAAGTCTGGCTTCAGGCCACTGCTTTGCAGACAGCACCTCCGGCGCATGCGTGGATGCAGACTGTAGGTGGGCACCCAGGGCGCAAGGCTGCTGTCTGGAAAGCACACCCTGGCCCTGTGCCGACTTCCGGCTGGGGAATGCTGGCTGGGGTAAAATAAAAGCCCCCCTCCTCCACTTCACCAGGTATGGAACCTCTGCGGGGCCGCCCTTCCAATTTCACAGGGACAATCTGGGAATTTCCGTGCAGGAGCAACCCTGCCTGCCACCCGGCCTGCTGCAGTTTGTTCCAATATTAGACAATTTGTTCCGAACAGTACGACTGACTGCTAGACTTTACATCCTATATTATGCTGGATCCAAGGACTTGATTGAGTCTCTCAGACATAATGATGTGTGAGAGAAGCCAGACACAAACGGGTACGTGCTGCATGATTCCATTTATATAAAATTAAGAATAAAAAGCTGACAAAACCAATCTATAACAGTGACAGGAGGCAGAACAGTGGCTTCTTCTTGGGTTGGGACACTGACTGTAAAGGAGGACAGGGAGCCTCTCCGGGTGCTAGACAGGTTTGATTTCTGGACAGGCTTGAATGGGGTAATGTACATAGGTTACACAGGAGTAGAAATATTTAAAAGTTCATCAAATTCTATGCTTTAGGTATGTATGCATTTTGCTGCATGCATATTAGACCTCAATAAAAATTAATTTAAATGTTGTATAGGGTTCCCTGATATAAATGGAAAATAGACTCCTTTCTTTCCTTTCGCGTAAGTGTATCTGACATTCTCAGAATGGAATGTTTGAAAACAATAGTAATAATAATATACAGTACTATGCAGGGAGACCTATATGAATTATCTCCTTAAGTCCTCAAAACACTCCCACAAGAGATGTGGCCATGCACGTCTCCTCGTCACACCTGAGGGGACAGAGATGCAGGGAGGGAAAGTAATTTTTCCAAAGTCAAACAGCAATGAAGATGGCAGAACTCAGACTTAAATGCAAAGCAGTCTGATCCAGAGCTTTGGCTTCTAATTGATCTTCATGTTTGTCATACACTACAGAAGGGCCTTTTTAAAAAAACAAATTGGATAAATGTGATTGGTTCTATCATTTTCCCTGTGCCTGGGAAGCTCCCTGTCATTACAGGGCCACCTGCTTGGTAGGCCTGTGGAGGAGAATTGTGGCTTGGGTGCTGGGATAACAACAGTCCCTGGCCCCTTAGATCCTGAGGTTCCTTTGGGAGGCACACCTCCTTTAGCACAAGGGCCTGTTTTCTCTGCTATTAGAGAGGCAGGAGGGGTGCTTTCATTGGCTTGTTGTCTTCAGTCTTTGTTCCTTTCCCATAAAGGAAGCTTGCAGTGAGAAGACCCAGAGACTTTTCATGTGCCGATCCCTGGGGTGTTGTGGACCAACATGTCCTCGGGTGAAATTCCCACAGCTTGCCACACACTTTTAAAAATCTGTGTTACAAAAAACCAAAGGTGCCTGATTTCCTCTTTTTCTAGCTCTTTATATTGTTATTATAATAAATTTAATGTATCTGTAAAACCTAGAGAAGGCATAACCACTCTAATTGTAAAATAATAGCTCAATATTTTCAAGACTCTTTCTCATCTTTCTCAATTCATTTTCTTAAATTCTCCTTTGAAAATCTGTGAGATCATTGATTCCTGCATTATAAAGAGCCATAAATCATAGATGGTCTAAAAAATCCATTGCAGGGAAAGGAAGACAGCATCTTAATAATATTTTAGACATTATTAGCAAGTGGGCACAAATGCCTGGGCACATTAGGCAAATACAAAATTAGCATCCACCCCAGAGTTACCCAAGTAACTATATACACAATAATTCCTGAAGTCACTTGGAAAAATGACTGGATGTTGAAATTTTTGACTTAAAAAAAAATGGTCTCATCTCACCCCTGCCTACAGGGGAGACTGGGTCACAGTTCTGCCCTGCACCCCAACCCTAGCTGCAGGGGTAATCCTGCTAAGACAGGTGTCACAATTTATATCTAGATATCCCCCAAGGGCTCCATGTGCTCAAGGTGGGACTTTTGGAAGGTGACGGGACCATGGGGCGGCTACAGCTGATTTGTCAGTAGAAGGTGGGGTCTGATCGGGAGAGGCAAGTCCCTGGGAGTGTGACCTGAAAGGGGACATCTCCCTCCAGGCTCCTCCCGCCTCTCTGCTTTCTAGCCACTATGACCTGAGCAGCTCCCTTCCACTCTGTCCCTCTGCCATACCGTTTCTGCCCTGGAGCTGGCTGACCATGGACTGTAAACATGAGTCAAGATAAATTTCTCCTCCTCTAAGCTGTGTCAGGTATTGTATCTCTGTGATGAGGAAAATGACTGGGACAGCAGGTGAGAGCGCAGCCTTGAAGATCAAGATGAAGTGCTTCCTTCTGAGCAGACACTCCGTCCTGGGTAGCACTGCCTCCACTGGCCCTGTGCCCAGATTCCATCTTGCATCCACTCCTATGCCCTTCAGGACTCTAGTCCTCCTCCCACCTCATTTCTAGCTTCTGATCCTCTAGCCAGCCCCAGAGTGGGTCCCTTTCCCTGCAGTCATATCTCCCATCTACCACACTGGCAAACTCAACTGCTCAGGGCTGCTCTTGTGAGTGCTGTAATCTGCCCCCAACTTGGCCTTCTCCAAATCAAACCAGAATGTACTGGCCTTCAACTACACAGCCGAGGGCAGCACAGCTGGCCTCAATTGTTGGGCCATCTCTCTCCACACCATCGTGGGCCGTGACAAGGTAATCATGCCCAGCTCCTGGTCTCCCCTTGGGCCTGTAGGTGCCAAGATCTGCTGGATCCACCAAGGGCCCATATGGGCTTCAATCTCATCATGGTGTGCTGCAGTGCATCAGGAATTCAGACTCCTCAACTGGAAACCTCTGAATTTGGCATAGCTGAACATTCTCTGTTTCAATGAGTTGTAAGTATCTCAAAGGCCTGTATAATCTTAAATGCTGTTAAGGCATCAGCCAAGCCAAGCCTTATTTTCTGGTTAGCCTTCATGAAATTATTTAAACACACATACACACACACACACACACACACACACACACACACACACACAGAGGCATGCACACTTTGTTCCTCTCTAGAAAACCGGCTTGGAAAAGAAAAATGCTGGTGAAGCCGAAAGAAATTGAAATAAAAGCCAAGAGAACAAGGAAGCAATGCTGAATCAGAATGAGAACTTTTGGATAATTTCAGTACAAAATACATTCAGTGATTGCTAAAATGAATGAACCCATCAGATATTTATGAAATAGAAATAAGAAAAAAAGTGATTCTCAAGCAAATACTCCAACCCAAACTGGAGCTGCACACAATGTGGGAAGTTATATGCAGCATGAGCTGTCCAGGGGCCTTGGGATCCTGGAGAGTGCTAAGGGTCTATTACATGAGCAGTGCACACAGGAAAATATGCTTACTTTGGAGGTGTTTAAGACCCAGTGTCCTGCATCTGGGCATATGGCAAAGCCAAGGTTAAGTCCTTTTCGAGTGTCCTTACCTGGTCATCATAGCGATAGGTGAGGAACTGCTCCCCCGTCGTATCTTCAAGGAAACTTCCCTGAGGAGACAGTGCAAACTCAGGAAGGAAGTAGGCACCAGGTGACTTCTCTGCTGTGGTCTGAAAGACAAGGTCACTTGGTCACAAAGAAGCCTCCAGGGAGGAACCCCTGGGAGGCAGAGTCCAAAAAAGACAGTCCAAGAAAATGCATCTACTACAGGCTGGACACTGGCAATGACCAAGGTTAGGCGCATGGGAAGTGTGTGTTGGAGCAATGTTAGGCCAGGCCCACACTGGTCCATCTCAAATTGGCAGTGGTGGTATTATTCCCTGGCACCTGCCTTCCTCTCCCCTCCTCATCCTTCCTTCTGCTCCCCAACCTTTCAGCAAGTCACCCACAAAGTAGTTAGCCTGCTTAAGTTGTGTGGTTGCAAATTCATCGCTTTTACACTTTTCTTTCTTTCTTTCCTCTCTTCTTATTACTGTTTATTAAGGACTGGAAAACAATTTTTCCATAGTACAACAGAAATGCATGTTCATTATAGAAACTACAGACCATCACAAAAGATAACAAACATCACCCAAGCCTTAGCCAGGGCTAGTTGTCCTGTGCAGAAACACAGATCCATCTACCAAAGAGTGGGAGCAGTCAAGTATCGTCACCTTAAAAGAGCTTCCTGAATATAGGGAGCCTTCTACTAGGATGCTTATATTAATTTGACCATGCATTCAATGTATATTTATTAAACACCAACTATATGCCCAGCAAGTTACTAAGGATATAGATACAATGAGGAACAAGAAAGATTAGTTCCTGTTTTCATGGAGCTTATATTCAAGTGGAAGAGATGCACAGTAAAGCAAGTAATGAAATACTTCACTTGATTTAAGCACTGAAATTAAAATTCTAAGTGCTACAAAGGAAATAAACAGGTGATATCAGAATAACACTGGGGGAAAGAGGCTCGATTTTCAATAAATGGTAGCAAGGGCTCCCTGAGAGGATAAGATTGAAGTTCATACCTAGAACATAAGACAGAATCGGGTCTGCAAAAAGCCAAGGGTCAGGATTTCTACCAAAAGAAAAGCAAGTCCCAGAGCCCTAATGTGGAAATGAGGTCAGTGGGTTGGCAGAATAGAAAAAGGGTCAGTGTGGCTTGGTTCAGTATGGACAGGGGGATGCAGTGACGATGAAAAGGAAGATCAAAAGGTTTGTGGGTCGTGGCAAGGGGAAGAGAGCCACAGAAGAGCATTTAAATAACACAGACCATTACTCAATGAAGAAAGAACAAGGCAGATAGAGTAAAGTGAAACCAACAGACTGGCTGATGACGGGAAAGCAAGGAATCAAAAGCAGGAGAGTCACCACCTCTTTCCTCCCTTTGCCTCCTCCAAAGCATGCTGGGTTTTTTTCTTGAGCAAGTATGTTTAAGGGAACAGAAGGGATGAACAGTGCTGTGGGAGAAACAGATTTGTTGGGAAGAGCAGAGTCAATAGCTCTGCTTGAGACAAGAGATCCACTTGGAGAGCTTGAGCTGGCTGCTCCATACCAAGTCTGGAGCTCAGGGAGGAGACTAAGCCTAGACATAAAGATGTGGAAGTCAGCACTTATATTTACATATATTTATAGCCACTATATGAGAAAAGCCTTTCCCCACAGAAAGAGTTTGGTAGAGAAGAGGTCCTTGTTTGGCACCCTCAATAATTCTACCATCTGAAGTTGGGTAAGCGGTGCACACCTATAATCCCAGCACTCTGGGAGGCTGAGAGAGGAGGATCTTTAGGTCAAGCCAAGCCTGCACAACTTAGCAAGACCCTGTCTGAAAATAAATGTAAAAAGTCCTGGGGGTGTAGCTCCCCTAGGTTCAATCCCCAGCACTGCAAACAATCATAATTCCACCATTTGAAAATGAGGAAAAGAAAAGAAGCAGCAAAAAAGATTAAAAATGATCAATCACAGTAGAAATTTTAAATGGATCTGGGAAGAATTTAGCATCCAAGAAAGCAGTCAACTTTCTTTAATGCTGCAGAGAAAACAAGAAAGATGAGTCTGGAGAAGTGTGGATGAGTATGTGGGTGTGGGGCAAGAAGGTCACCCCAGCTCCAGCGCAGCTGCAGAGACAACTGCACTGGGTCTGAAGAGAGAGAGGGAGGGGCCTGAGGCAGAGCTGAGGGAGCATGGAAGGACCGGCCATGTTTAGAGGTAGACAATGATGGAGTATTTTGTTTGGCCACTGGAATAGTCTAGTGTGTGAGAGCAGAGAAGGGAGCTGGCAGCAGAGCTGCAGGAAGAAAGCACTGGAGAAGGAAGGAGGATGGGTCCAGGATGTACATGGATGCCCTGGTCCTGTAACACGGGGACACTTGACCCATGTTATTCCACATCAGCCATGCTGCTCTGCTGATTCCAAATTAGGGCCTCCACTTCCCCTGTGCTTCCTTCCTGGCCCTTGCTGCTGCATCCCATGGATTCTTGGTCCTAAGACAAGCCATGGGTCCCCAGTACACTCCCTCCCTCTTACACTGCTAAGCCACCCTTCTTCCAAGGCCACAGGGTGAGGTCTTTTGGAGCCACTTTTTAATGGCCCAGCCCTTCTCTATAACCAGGTTATGTGTGCACTGTAACTCTGCAAGATTAAAAACGACTACATTTAAATTCTAATAAGCTCCCCCGCCATGCTTAAATTCAGATTGGTAAAATGACACATCTACCCATCCCAGGTTTCTGTCTCTCCCTGCAGGGCCATTTTGCCACTGCCTCTTGGAAGACTTTGTTGTCTGCAGACAGAGTCTCCACTGAGCTCCACCTCGTAGCACCATGCCTGGCATGTGGGAGGTGAGATGTGAAAGAATGGCAGGCGGTGTCATCTGAGCACTGCAGTAAAGGCCTGCTTCTTGGCAACCTCTATTCCCCTAGATTTTCTCCATACCCATATCACACTCTGTATGGATGGACAATGATTTTACATCCATCTCTTGCTATTAAAATCCCTACTCTTATTAACAAAATGACAATTAGTGAACCATTTTTATTTATTCAGGAGATGAGTATACAGCCCAAGTGCAATCCAAGTCTTTGCCCCAGACCCAATGGAGGGTACCGTGTGCCACCATGGCTGTCGGAAGTCTTGGAGAGCTATGGCATCCATGATTATGAGATTCCAGCACCAGAAAGAACCTTTTTGAACCCAGCCTCTCTTCCTCAGCAATGCTGCCAGATTCCCTGCAGCCACTACTTGAATACCTTTAGTTATAGGGAGCTCATTCTCTCCAAAAGCGACAGGGCCTTGTCAGAATCTAGCCAGTTTATGGGCCGAACTAGTCTGAAGTGGAACCCTGCTCCCCAGCTCAGCTGCCCTTGACAACAGCATCTTTCCTGACTCCCTCCTCCATGACTCCCATCCCTCCTCTTGCACACACACACACACACACACACACACACACACACACACAATGGGATCCCAATGTTCAAACAGTGGGAGATCAAGAAAAGCCAAATGTCTGAATTGCAGAATCAGCAGGACTCTGGAGACAGCCTAGTCCCCACCCCTCTGAGGCAGGAGTCTCTCCTGCTGCACCTCCAACAGTGAGACATGCAGGTCCTTTGAAGAGAAAGATGAGAAAGAAAGAATCTCAAGTTCTGAAGATCTGCCATGAGCCAGCATTTGCCCCCCAGTCCTCACAACTGCCCCCATGAAGTGAGTACCATTCATCTACTGTCCCGAATGAAGGCGCTGAGACCACCGAGGTCAGGTCATCAGACTAGGGACACACAGACTCTCAGCTTTCCAGGGAAAGTTCTCTGTTTCATTCCCTTCCTTCCTCAGTGGATAGGATTCTTAGAACAACCTGCCCATTTATTTGGAGAAATGCCTAAGTCTATGTGTGTCTTCAGAAAACAAGCATCATCAGGAAGGCATTGTTGACATTTCCATCCAGAAGGGAAGGGCTTCTTAACTGTCCTGATGTCTTGGTGACACGTGGCTGCCTGTGGGATGGGGTGACCAAAGAGGTCAGGGCCCTTAAGTAGCAAGAGGCAGAGAGAAGGTGGGGGAGGAAGGCCAGAAAAGAAGCGTGAGATCTTCCCATGGCACAAAGCCAGGGTCTGGGAGAGAAGCTGCCAAACGCATTGGCCCCACAGCCACTGCGCACAGCTGCTCAGCGACTGGGGATGGGGCAAGAGGAATCCAACAGTACCTCAGGGACTCTGAACCTGAGGCCTGGGGGTTCAGCTGTGTCCCCCATCCCACCCCAAGTGGGAAGCTCTGACTTTGGCAGGAAGACATGAATGTGAAATGGCACTTCAAGGACAAGAGTTCATGTTCTAGGCTTCAATCCATACCGTATGGAGAGTCAAGAACAACTTCCAGACCGAGTTTGAGTATGATGTAATAAAAATATATGGGGTCTCTGACCACAGTTGATAAACCTCTGGTAGAGGGCTAGGGGTGGTGCATCTGCCTAGCATGCATGAAGCCCCTGGGCTTAATTTCCAGCAACACACACACACACACACACACACACACACACACACACACACAATCTCTCATAGAATTGTTAGGGGAATTTGTTGTTCTGACATTTGGTCTTTGACCCTGGTTCCTAGCACACAGCTCCCAGACTTTTACCATTTCTGGGTGATGGGAGCATCTTTTGTTTGAATGTTGTAGCTCTTGGGTGGGACAGGGGCTGCTTGAGACCAAACAGCTGAACTTTCTACTTTCAGCAGCATCCTGCAACCTCCAGGTGAAGGTGAGTTGATTCCAGGGGCCAGCAATGTCATCACATGCCTAGGTAATGAAACTCCAAAGAAAACCACAAGCTTGGGGCTTTGTCAAGGCTGATGAACACAACTGAGTGCTGGGGAAGGGATGCACCCTAATTCCTGCCCTTGGGGCCTTCCAGGCCTCGCCCTGTGTGTCCCTTAATCTGATTGCTCATCTGTACCCTTCACTGTGTTCTTTGTGACAAACCTGGCAGACACGTAAAATGTTTCCCTGAGTTCCTTGAGCCACTCCAGCAAATCAATGAAATCCAAGGAGCGGGTACAGGATCCTGGATTGATGGTCCACAGGCCTAAAGTGCAGGTAGGTGCCATAACTTGTTGCTGGCATCTAAAT